TGGTGCTTTCTGGGTTGATGGTTTTTCCTGGGCGACATTCATTGATGAGTAGCAGTGGGGAGGTCTTGAAGTCCTCCACTATACTGCATCCATGTTTCTTCACCTTTAGATCCACTAATCTGTTTTACAGAACTGGATGCTCCAGCAAGAGGTACGCACACATTTACCATCATTATGTGTGCTTGTTGACTTGGTAACACTGGCATTATATCATTGCTAGTCTTCATACATACAGTTTTTATCCTAAAATCTATTTTATTTGATGTAAGCATGGCAGTTCCTGCTGACATTTGGTTTCCCTTTGCTGGCAATGTCTTTTTCCATCTTCTGGTGTAAATGTGTTTGTAGTGGTGTAGTGAATTTTTTGTAGGCACAAGATCATGGAGTCTCTTTCTATTCATGCAGCTACTCTGTATCTTTTAATTGGGGAATTTAAAGCACGTACACTCCAAGTCAGTATTAAAGTAGTAGTAATCCTGCCAGTTAAAAAAAATACTTCTGTGCTTTTCCTCTCAAGTTGTTCCTCTTTATGTATCTGCTCTTTGAGTGAGCTTTATACGTTCACATGTTAACGTTGGCTTCTGGATGTGGGACACTTTTGAGTCTCATTCGTAAAGCTGGTCTTGTGATTCTTTACAAGCAAAAATGCAATTTATTTCCCCTTCACTCATGAAGGACAGCTGTACCTGGATATGCTATTCCTTGTTTGTGATCCTTCTCATTCAAAAGTTGCCATACATCATTTCTTCTCGGGCTGTAAATTTTCTGCAGAAAATGTCCTGAGTCTAATGAGGGCTCCCTTAAAGGTTACTTGGCACTTTCCTCTTAGACGTCAGGATTTTTTGTGTATTGTACTTCAGGGACTTCCACTATGGCAGGTCTTTTCTGGACATGTCACTTTTGGGTCTTGTGGGCTTTCTATACTTGGCTATCCATATCTTCCCCAATTTTTGAGATATTTCCAGTTATTTTTTCTGTGATTAGGTTGCCTGTGCCTATCCTCCTTTCTTCTTCAGAGATCCCCAGAATTCGATTATTTGTTCAAAGATTCGCATAACGGTGCCCCAACGGTCTCAGAGGTTATCACCATTTATAAACGCATAAGTTGACAGGGGTATTCCAACGGACTTCACTTCAAGTCTGATATTGTTTCCTCTGTTTGTTCTAGCCTCTTGGTGAGGGTTTCAATTGTGTATTTTGAGTTCTTCATGTCCAGATTACCTGTCTAGGTCTTTTCTAAGATCTCTATTTCATGCTGATACTGCGACATTCAAATAATGTATTTGTATTCTATCTCTTGGAGCATTCTTAGAATCATTCCTTTGAATTATTTCAGACATTTCCTTAACCTTCTTTTGTTCAGAGTCACAGACTGTTAATGTGTTTTTCGGGGGCATTAGATGGCCTTGGTTTGCTCGTACTTCTTGGATTCGCCCATGGGTGCTTGTACACCTGGCAGATCACGTAACTACATCATTTGAAAGAGTGACTTTTGTGGGAAAAGGCTTTTTCCTAAAGATGGGTCATTCAGAGTCAGTTTGATAAGGCTATTAGTTTGGATCCAGTGGAAACCTGTGGTCCTGTCTCCCTATATCTTCCTCCACTGCAGTCAACATCAGGAGTCGTGGGGTCCTGGGGCGCCACTCTCAGTCCCAGCAGGCATGGTGTGGTGGGTTTCAAGTCTTGGATCTCAGCTTAATTCTTTCTTCCTCCCTTCAGCATGAAGGCATCTATCTCTGCACCATGCTACTTGGAGCTGGGGATGTGGTGAGACAGGCGATTCTTCCCTTCCTGTCTTCACCAGTACATCTTTGCTTACTATTGTCTTAAAAGGAGGCACTGTGGTCTTCAGCTGCCTTCCTCAGCTCTTATGAAGGTGGCTAGCTGCATGAAGAGTTGTTCAGATAGGTGTGTCCATGCAGAAGTGATACCTGGAGCATCCTCCTCATCTGTAAACACTACAAAAAGTTTAATGTAATTCATGTGACAAAAGCTATTTCCAGATTATTCTACATGTTAATGCAAGTGATCCACTGCACTTAAAGAAAAAAGGGAGAGTGTGCATGATATCTCTTTATTTGAAAGGTAGATTTACTGAGAGAGAGGTCTTCTATCTGCTGGTTCATTCCCCAGATGGCCACAATAGCTGGAGCTTAGCCGATCCGAAGCTAGGAGCCAGGAGCATCTTTTGGGTCTCCTATGTGGGTGCAGTGGCCCAAGCACTCGGGCCATCTTCTACTGTTTCCCAAACCATAAGAAGATAGCTAGATTAAAAGAGGAGCAACCAGGATACATGCCGGTGCCACAGGCAGAGGATTATCCTGTTATGCCAAAGTTCTGGCCCCTAGGCCCATCTCTTGAATTATGACTTAATGCCTTCTAGCAGGAATGGTCAAATCTTCAGCCCCACCTAGAGGACTTCATCTTTTCCCTTAAATATGTTTTTGATAGGTCATTGTCAAGGTGCCCATCTACCTCTGAACTCAAGGAATATACTAGGGGTTGGCATACAAATGAGACTCTTAATTCTCTTATCTGCCTGCCCTCAGAATAATTTGATCACTTAAATTCCCCAACTGCTAGACTGGCTAAACATTAACTGGATGGTGGCTTTTGTGGAATAATAGTCCTTTTTGTCCACAGGTGGGTATCCCATATATGATCATGTATTCCCATAGGAGTGAGGGGCCCATTTTTTTCCACACTATTTTATCTTGGGTAGAAAAACTAGAAAAAAATTCATGGTGGCACTCATTTATAGAGCAGATAATTTCATCTTGGGGAGAAATATTCTTAAATATCCCTGTATTGCTGAACACTGTGATTGGCAGTAAGCTGTCTCCTTCCCTTCCTTTTGGCTCCCAACTTAGCCATCAAGCTTCTGCACTTGACTTCTGTTGTATGCTTATTTTCAGCCGAATCCCATGGGTGGTTGTTTCTCTCATATCTACTCTGGCAATTTCCCCTCTCTCTAGTTTCCTACAGATTCTCCCTTTGCCCTCGGTCGTGTATGCCCTGGGCCCCGGTCTACACTGCTCGTATGCGGATATGCACAAGTAACACAACTGATCACCTACCCCACCCACGAAGATTGCAGTTACTCCGAGTTACTACCAACGCTAATAAATCTCACATAAGCCTGAAGGAAGGCAGTATTTTCCGATAGACGTCTATATTTTTCAATATTCACATCCTTAACTGGTTGCTGAAATGGCAACATTAAAAACAACAGACCCTTCTGTATCGAGGGGCACGTGGTAACCAGCATGCTTAGGTCTCCTCGTATTTTGAGTCTGCAGTGGTGTGCAGGATGGCATGTTGACGGGTTAGGCTAGACTCGGCACATGGGCCTAGTCGTCTTTGGGAAGGCTTCTTCCTGCAGACAGAATTGGAAATGGCAGGAAGTGGACATGCCGGGACCAGCTGCAGGGATGGCCCACAGGAGGGGTATCAGTGGGTCCTGTTGGGTCCTCCCTGGACGTTAGGCAGGGATGCCCCTCTGGCCGAGGCTGCCCTGTGAATAGCTAGTACTGCACATTGCTATTGTTTTCGTGAAAAGAGCCTCGATGTGAGTGAGTGTTTTTTTTTTTTTTTTTTTGACAGGCAGAGTGGACAGTGAGAGAGAGAGACAGAGAAAGGTCTTCCTTTTGCCGTTGGTTCACCCTCCAATGGCCGCCGTGGCCGGCGCGCTGCGACCAGCGCACCGCACTGATCCGATGGCAGGAGCCAGGAGCCAGGTGCTTTTCCTGGTCTCCCATGGGGTGCAGGGCCCAAGCACCTGGGCTATCCTCCACTGCACTCCCTGGCCACAGCAGAGAGCTGGCCTGGAAGAGGGGCAACCGGGACAGAATCTGGCGCCCCGACCGGGACTAGAACCCGGTGTGCCAGCACTGCTAGGCGGAGGATTAGCCTAGTGAGCCGCGGCGCCGGCCCCGGATTGTTTTTGATCTGCATATTAACCAAAAAGAGACAGCCTGGTCATTTCTTACAAACAGCGAGGAAAACATTTTCCCTTGAAAACACACAAGATACATCTCGGCTGGAAACGCTCACACAAACAAAAAATCCTTTCATCCAGAATCTGTGGTTTGCTTTCTTTGACTCCTTAGTATACATGAATCTGTGAACACACACAGCACTCAGACACGCAGCCTGATGGAGTGATAATCTCTCATAATGTGCTTCTATTTAAAGCAACAAGCAGATGGAGGGCTTATGAGCAAGGCTGGTAAACGTAAAAGCAAATGATGGCAATAGTTGTACTTTTAATAGGATTCCCCACAATCTAAGACATTATTCCCCAAGGAACAAATTGTTCTATAAAATTAAGTTACTTAGGGAAGAGAGAGTCGCCTTGACATTGCGGAGGCAAGAAAAAACTACAGAACTGCCGCGCCACGCAGGAGTCTCGAGACAGAGACCGGTCCTGGGGAAGGAGGAGCAGGGGGACGCCAGGCACCACGGCCCTAAGTTACAGGCTCCAAGGAACAGACTGAGAAGAACAAAGTGTCAGGGGCTGGGAAACAAATCCACGCTTTGACTCCGTTTATTACCTTCTAATTTCCCACTCTGAAAGATGACGTTTGAGGCACTCCTCTGGCTACACACGCAGCGTGGCTTCCAGAGCCTCACGCTAGCACAGCAACTCTTGCCTAGCAAACGGGGGAACAGTAAACAACCCGACGCTAATTCATTCTCATTAGCCCCTCTTAAGAGAAACACAACTCGCTATAATTCGATCAAGAAGATGAATATACTGCAGCGATGGCGTTTACGTAAATTATAATTAAAGCTAATCGTAATTAAAGTCATTAGACCATTTTGAAAGAAAATAAACAGCCCAAAGAGGGAGAAACAATGTGGTCAGTCACTCACTCCAGAAATATTTTTTTTGCCTCCAAAGCTCACATTGAGGGAGACATTCCTGCGCATGATACAAATGGTTCTGACATTAAGAAAAGTAAACAAGTAAGAAAAATAAAGATGGAAAAATTCTGTGGTCAGTTCACAAGTGCTTTTTTATTGTTGGAGGCAGGGTGAAAGCCTTTTATAAAGACAAGGATATATGTGCCGCGAGATTGGAGGTGACATCGGACTAGTCTAGCTGCCCTCGCACAGAGCTCTGGCGGCCCAGAACGTGCCCTGGACAAAGCCTGTGTTGATGTCTCTACACTAAGAGCCTGGGTGGGACTGAGGGTAGCCCGTGGGAAGCACCGCCCCAGCACGGCTGCGCAGATCAAACTGAGAAAGGTCCTCGGGTCTGGTGACGCACGGACCTGCGAGGAGATGGCGAACATTCAGCATGCTCTGCTTATTCATGGCCGTGAAGGTGCTCATGTTCACTTGTCTTAACCACTGATTCAGGAAGGTGGTGGCATCTAAATTCGGGGCTGCTGCCAGCCTCAATTCATGTCCTCAAGGGCTGTGTCCCTTCAGTAGGCCACGGGCTCCAGAAACGGCTGAGGGCTGTGAAAGTAGGTTCTTCCTGGGTGGCTTGGGGAGGCTGAGTCCCCAGAAGTTGGCAACAGCAACTGCCGAGTCATTGGCTATGAACAAGGTGGAGGGGTTTTCTGTGTGGCTTTGCTGTCGGCAAGCTGAGCGCACGTTAGGACACCCAGGACGGTGATCACCTCTCTAAACAGAAGCAGCGGACCGAAGTGCCGTTGTGTCGGGAGCAGCCGGCCTCTCCGTGTCTGCTGGACTGATGGCACCGGGTGCTAGTAAGGGCAATGGTGGTCCTCCAACCAGCAGGGGTGTGCTGCTTTTCCTGGTGGCACTGTGCATTCTGGCACTAGAGACATTGCAGCGGCTCACAAGTTACAGATTTTAATCTGAGAGGCCCTGAGGAAGATAGAAACATTTGAAAGCCTCGCACCTCCTATGCAAGTGGCTGTGACAGCATAGGTTTTGTCTATTCACCTCCTGATCCGGTGCTGTCATCTTTTCATCACCTCCCTGTGTCTGCATAGCGCCCCCCTCCGCCAAGCCAGCCCCTAGCACAGATACAGGCATAGCTGGAAAGTGGGTGTGGTCAAAGTACATAAAAATTCCTTCTGGGTGCAATGAAACCGTCGTGTTGAGAAAGATGCCTGATGGTGCACTGTATTCGAGGCAGGAAGTGGGCTTAGCCATGAGGGAAACAAGATGGAGCCTACGGTTAGGGATGCAGGGAAAGCTCTTGACCCCGGTGCAAGGCCTGCAACAGCAGGAAAAGAAGTGGAGATGCACGCCCTGGCTGAGAAGTTCCACCTCTGCAGGGGGGAAAAACTGCAAACACAGGTGCACTGCCGGTGTGGGGGGGGGCACGGTGCAGAGGACCCCAGAGGTTAGGACAGAAAGGGAACAAGGGAGGAGGCCGCCTTCCCCAACAACAAACCCCCAGTGACGTCGGCAGGATCTTGACTCAGACACTCTCTCAGGCGACTGCAGCCGCCGCACAAGCCCAGGGAGGCCCCAGGTGTGACCTCTGCTCCCCTGTGAGCAGTGGAGGGACCAGGCAATCTATCATGGTGTTCATGCTGTCAGCCCTGGTGCGTCGCGGCTGCTGTCTGTCACCCGGGTGGATGAGACCTGCTTAAGGGCAATCATGTCAATCTCTCTGTGACCACTCAGTCTCAGGCAGAAGGATGCTCTTGACAGGCCTGGCAAAGTCAGCACAAGGTACCAGGAGCGGAAGTCGCAGCCTTCCCGCAGCGGCGGCGTGGGGGCCGGCGTTGGTTTCTTCAGCTTTGGGCTTCGTTGTGGCTTTCCCTTTTTTTGGCATGAAGCAGGCGAAGGCGTACAGAGTGTGGCTTCAGAGCTGGTCGTCTCGGATAAACCTGTTGCCCTCCGAGTTCTTCCCGTAGTAAACGTAGCGACACTTGCCCAGGACACCTGCAGATCAAGAGAAACACAACATTGTGAGAGGCGCACGGTGAGGACGGCAGGGAGACGGGGACACACACAGCCCCAGAAAGGGAGAATCCTGCCTTCCTGTCCTCAACGTTGGCACAGAAATAAATTATCCCTGCTAAGGACCAGTCCCTAGCATTCACAGGCTTTCTGCATAGTCTCCCTCTTGCATCTTAGGGATGTTTCTAATTTAACCAATTACATCCCCTGATAAAGCACAACCCCTGTCCCCGCTCCAGGTTCCCTGGGCAGAGTTTTTGAGAATGGAAAGAGGAAGGGCCCATGCCAAGCGAAGGATGGCCAGACTGTAACCTGTTTTGAAGTCCTTAATCATGAATCGATACTGTTATCTTCCAAATCCCGGGAGGCCTTGGGGTGAATTAGGGAAGCAAAGTGGTGTTGACAGAGTAGGGCCGGCCGGGAGAGTAAAATGAGCCTCTGACATGGTGCGCCTTCGCCTCGGAGGCATCCTGCACTCGTGTCAGGGCGCTTTCCCTCTTCCTCTTGGGCGTTACATAACCCTGGGGCTGTACCTTCAGTGTCCTACAACTTCTTGGGATGAGAGAAAAGCTTAACCATAAAAAACCACCCCTAGCAGAGGGCTGAACGTGTTAATCACCTCCCTGTGTATTCTAAATACTTAAAGCAATCACCTGCTATATTTAGGGTGAAGGCTTTGCCAAATTATTAAGGGGAACAGGTAATCCCAGAAAATGTTTATAACTTGAGTTTCAATTGCCATCTTGTACTTTTTTTTCCTATTTCAAGATAACAAGCATAAAACTTAGGAGCACAGAAATGTAGTACTAATAGAACTTGAATCTTTGAAATGTACACAACCAGAAAAGTGTCCCCAAGCCACACAACAAATGTCGGAAGCCACACAACAGCCTGTGCAGGTAGCTGTCTCTTGTGCTTGTTTTCCCCATCAGTTTCCTCGTGTGAAAACAGCAAGTACTGCTTTTTGTTGTTAATTTGGGATAAATGAGCACTTGAAATGAGCCGGGTTCTTCAGGTCTGAAGTCCTAAGTTGCAACTATTCCTGTGACTGGAAGAGATGCTGTGCCACCACAGAGCGTGAAGCTTGGTTCCTAAGTCAGGAGTGAAATGACTCGGATGCTCGCTGGGCTGGAGGACTCTGGACGGAGAGGGCGGTGCTGGGGTCACAGAACCTCTGTTGGCAGCTGGGAGCGGGTGACATCGCTCCATGGCCCGCGCTCCTCAGCCCCGTTTCCTGCCGTGTTCCCGTGAGCATGCTTACGGTGGATCACTTGTTCCCTTGGCCATGCTTCCTCCTTGGCCCCTAGTCCCCAGTTTCTGTTTTTTTGGGATTGGTCTGGTGCCTGGAAACACTGAGCCTGGACCAAACCTCCTGGAGACCCTCCTTGGGGCCTAAATTATTCTCTTGGCACTGAGCTGTTGCCTTAACTGTGCTGAACTCTGCAGCACCTAGGATTGTACTCAAGCTGTCGCCAGTGCCAGGAAGCCTTGTGGTGTGTGCCATGGGCCAGTCGGGCTCGATCCCAGGAATAGCAGCTCCCCAAGGCCCTGATGGGAAGGGGGGAAGCCTCGTGCACATTGGCAGATGCACAGGGGGCTTCCTAAAACACGAGTGAGTCAAATGGATGGGGCCAGGGGATGGCGTGGAGTGTTAGGACAAGAAAGGGCTAGGGCTGTCAGCTACCATAAAGAACAGTCTTTCTCTCGAGTGAAAGAATGAGACATGCATGACACCCCCCCATGACACCCCCCTGCCCCGTGGGTTCACTCCTTCCAGGAAAGGCTGCAGGGTATCAGGGATTCGGTTTCCTTCCTCTACCCTCGCTCCGGGCTAAGCTTGCACTCAGGGTCTTGTCCAGACGGACTGCGCCCAGCACACGGGGCCATCCCGGTGGCTGCCTTTCTGGCTGGCATGGATGAAAATTCTTTTTAAGGCCTCCCTGTTTCTTTGGGCCTGGAAGCAAGACTGTTTATAGACATCCTGGGGAGGGGGAGCTGTTTGATGAATGCGGGAGACCGCAGCTAGGTGTCAGTGCGTAGAAAATGAGGCACGGACACGAGGTATTAATATTGTCAATGATCTCCTGACGGGAAAACAGATACCGCACTCACTGTCAGATTTAAATAGACATCAAGTGCATTAATGACAAAAGAGCAGACTTGAAACAAAGGGGCTCTGGGGTGGGGAGCTGAGCTCGTCTCGGTGCTGGCACTAACCTGATCTGAAGAGACACTGTCAGGACCACAGACAGGCCCCGGATGGTGTGCCGTGACACGAAACAGAGATGCGGACAGAGATACCAGCGCCATATTATGCCGGGGATATTTTAACGCCAGCTGACATCGCTCTCTGTCACTCGAGGCGTCCACTGCCTGCTGAACTCCACTCGCTGTGGCTGGAAGGTCCTCTGCATCCCTGTCCCATGGCAGGGAACATAGTGGAGGCGGGGGGGTCTAGGGGCACAAAGAGAATCTACATGGGGGCTCTGTGGAAGGAGCACACGGGTCCTCATTGGTATCTCAGCTACCGGAGGTGATCAGAAGGCCCGCGTCTGAGGGGCTGTCACCTTGAATAAAATCCTTAGAGGGAAGGCACTCGGTCTGCGGTCTGCTCCTGTGAGGCGCAAGGCCGGCCTGGCAGCTGAAAATGAAATCCACCTGCTGGTGTTCGCCTGGGGCAAAAGGTGCTCTAGCCGGTGACAGTTAAAGTCGGCCGACCATTGTGAACCTGAGTCGTCCAACCCTGCTTAAATGAAACAGCTGTCACCTCCGTTGGGTCTCCCGCCCAAGCTCAGTCGGGGCGTGATGACCCTCGCTAGGTGACTTTCGTGTTCAAAAATAACCACATGGGAAATGTTCGAGGGGTAGGGGAAGCCAGCACGGGCCCACGGGTGGCCGCAGGACTTGATGGTGAAATGGGGGCTCTACTCCCACTCATCTGTTCAACTCCGTGACTGTGTCGCTGTCTCCTGGCTCCCCCTAGGGCCCTCCTCTTCCACCGTGGCGACCGCCATGGGCTGTGAAAATGAGGGAGGGTGAGGTCTGCCTGCAGAGACTATTTTGAAGGGGAGGCGCTCAGAGGCTGGAAGCTGAGAACCCACTGGTCGTGACTCAGTAGGCAAGGGTTTCGGTGCACATCTGCAATGGATTGACTTGTTTGTGTCTCTTCAAACTCTTAACGTCTCCAACTGGAGGGAGAACAACACGTTGAATGGCATATGCGGTGTTTTTAATTAAAATATCTGGCTTGGCCCATCAGAAGGGGAGCAGGCTCGCGAGGCAGCAGGCCCATGTGCAGCTGTCTGTGTGGGGATTTCTCTTCGGGGCCCTGAAAAATGACAGTGTGCCTTCCCCCGGGGCATCTTCTCTTGCCAAATGCAACTCCTAATTTTTCTTAAGTGGCCAGCTTTCCCATCGCCATAAGCTGTTCGAGCTATAATTACGGGGAAAAAATGCGTGGGGAAGGATCTGTTTTAAAGAGGTCCTTTATCTTCTCAGAGTTTCCCCTCTGTGGAATGGATGCTCTAATTATGCAGGTTAAGTTAGGACCTTGGGACTTTCTCAAAGGGTGGGAGTCGGCGGGTTCTGGCTGCAAGGCTGGGCTGGTCGGGGCCGTGCTAGAGATTTGGCTTGGGGAAAAACCCGAGTGTGGAGGGAAGGGGTTGTTGCACAGCCTTGCTTCTTAGTCTGCCGTGGCCTCCAGGGCACCCTGACCTGAAGTCTACCACCTTCCAACAGTCAGCTTCGGATGGGGAGCGGAGGGAGGACCTGCATGTAAATCCCGCCCTGGCCGTCATCCCCTTTTGGAGCTGAGCTGAGCTGGGCTCCCCCTGTGTAAAGTGAGGGCACAGATCTCAGAGGGTCATTGTAGCTCTGAAAGAGACGAACCTGAATTTTCAAACGGTTTCCTTAGTAAAATAAGTGCAGCACGTCCCATACATGGAGGGTATGGTCGAAGAGGCAAGTCTAATACTTAACCAAAACATTGGATGTGGACCACATCTGCTCTTGAAACCTCGCCAGCCAGCCCCTGCCCCATGCTGTTCATGCCTGAACAGGACGGTGAGTGCAGAAGGACCCCATAGCCCCAGGCAAAAAGTGTCCACTAGCTGTCCTGTAGCTGCACTTCCTACTCCAGGTTGCAAGTACTGTCTTGAGCACTTCACACTAACTTTGATAGAAGCCCAAGTCTTAGCATTCCATACAGCTTTGCAAGGGAGAAAAAATGAGAATGGGTACCTACAATGAGAAAATGACAATGTACTGCAAGTTAGGCCAATATGTTGCTGTAAAATACACAAATGCAGCAATTTTACTGTTACTAGGGGTTTGGGTGATCACCACGTTCATGACTGTGACTCGCGGTGCCATTATCATAAATGTCAGGGTAGCATGTGAGGACAAACACCAGATCATGCCGTCCAGTTCTCTGAGGCAGCACTAGGTCCAGGGAGCCTCCTGGAGAGGAGGAAAGGAGGGAGCTGGACACCTCGGACACCTTAGCCCAGGGCAGCAGGGAGAGGGCACTGGGAAACGCCTGCTTGGCTACCATCCAAGGCTCTAGAACCATGGGTCCATGGGACACGGGAAAAGGAGACTTCAAAAAGCTCATGGGAAATGGAATTAAAAGTCAAGTTTTGGTTCAAAGATTTGTTAAAATCCAGACACAGAGGAGTCTGTAACGAGTTTACTGAAAAAAAAAAATACAAAGATTGCAGCCAATAAACCTACATTTTAATTCTATTTTCCATGAACTTTTTATGTCCTTCATACATATCCATAAATGCATTCTCCCTCCTGCCCTCTTTCTAATGACCAGGGCCCTAAAACCATCCTTAGTACAGAGGAAGTATTCAATAAAGATGTTGAACAAATTGACCATTAAACCATTACAATGACCATGTATCTAAAATTCAAACAGAATCCACAAAGTTAGCAATTTAAATTGTTGTACACTCAGCCTTGGAACCTCTGGCATGATT